TGTCCGCTCCGGCCAGGCCAGGTCACGCCGGCCCTTGGCTGGGGCCCTGCTCAGAGGCCAGTTTAATTAATGACAGTAGGACAAATACTGCAGCGCTTCCGGGAAACTGCTGGCAGGGTTTTAGCTGTCCTGCTGAGCCCTGGTGCCATGTGGGTGACGGGCGCCATGAGCCCAGGCAGCATCCTGCCCGGAGCTGGAGCTGTTTGGGGGCAACCGGCTGGATGTGGGGGGAGAGGGGCAGAGCCAGGCCATGCCAGGGGGTGACCTTTCCTTATCACCCCCCCTGCGACGTGCTGCTCCAGTGCTGCCCTCAACCTTCCCGCGCGTCCCTGGGGGACAGCGTGTGACAGCCAGCTCCGCGGCGGCTGAGAGCCCGTGGGTGGCCTGTGCCACAAGGAGAGGGGGAACAACGAAGGCAGTTCAGCCCAGCTGGCCTCGTGCGGGAAACATGAGCATCCGAGCCTCCACACCCCGGCGGGGGAGAGGGGGCAAGCGGGACCCCAGGATCTGCCCTCCTCAAAGCCCCCGCGGCACCGTCACGAAGCTCGCTGCATCCCTGCACCACCCTGCTAACCTCCCCACGTCTATTTGTTGCAGTGATCCGAGCAAAGGCCGTCTCTGCGAAAGAGGTGGATTCAGGGAACGATATATATGGGAATCCGATCAAGCGAATCCAGTACGAGATCAAGCAGATCAAGGTACGGGGACGCGGCGTGGGGCCGGGGCGGGCAGGGCAGAGCTGCCGGGCAGCAGCAGCCAGGCACTCACTCGTGCTCTTTCGTTGCAGATGTTTAAAGGCCCTGACAAAGACATAGAGTTCATTTACACGGCTCCGTCCACGGCTGTGTGCGGTCGGGGGGTGCGGGAAGAAGGAGTATCTCATTGCAGGTAGGCAGGCGCGGAGCAGCCCGTGCTGGGGCTGTGGGCAGGGCAGCCTGGCTCCGAGGGCTCTTGGGGGATGTCTGCATCCAGGGCGGACCCTGGGCCTCACGTGCCTCGGGAGGCACTGCAAATGCACAGCAGCTCCCAGGGCAGCAGGTACCCTCTTCTTCCTGCTGCTGGGCAGCTGCTGCCCTGGGGGGCTGCTCTGGACCCTCTGCACTGGGAGAGCCTATGGTCAGAGTCAGTGGGATGCTGCAGTCAGGGACTGCGGTCCAGGGGGCTGTGGGATGCTGCGGTTACAAGGGCTGCGGGATGCTGCGGTCAGGGGCAGCAGGATGCTGTGGTCTGGAGGGGCTGTGGGATGCTGCGGTTATGGCAGCTACAGGATGCTGTGGTCCAGGGCTCCAGGATGCTGTGGTCAGGGGCAGTGGGATGCTGCGGTCCAGGGGGGGCTGCAGGATGCTGTGGTCCAGGGGGATATGGGACACTGCGGTCGGGGGCTGCAGGATGCTGCAGGTGGGGACTACGGGATGCTGCCACCAAGCCTGTGGGCAGGAGACAGAAGCTGGGCAATGCTCAGGGGCTCTGTCCGGAGGAGGACAGGCCTGGGAGGAGGGCAGCTTCTCCCTGCTGTTTTGAAAGGCAGGAGCAGGTAGATAGGACTTGCTAATTTGAGACGCTGACCAGCTCCTGAGGGTGCAACAGGACAGATGCTAACCAGAAACGCCTTCCCAGGGCTGCGCCCTGGCCCCGACCCAGGGAGACCGCCCTGGGCTCTGTCTCAGCTGGAGCTGCGGCTGCCCCGTGCCC